AGATTTGCATAGTGATTGACACGCGTATATTATATTAAAGTTTATATCTATGGTTAATTGTTTAAGTGATAATTATTACTTTGACAATGTATTTAATCTGAAACTTCATGCATTATGCCATCGTTGTAATGTAACAAGTGAAATTAGTTGAAATTAGTTTGAATAATTTCGAAATTGTCCTCCATGCAATTGGACAAAAATCATAATTAACTATTGATTTAGCAATTATTTGAAATAACATTTTCATGCTATCACTCTGCAATTGAAATTATATGAAACAACCAATTTCACTGAATCGTCGGCCTCGTATTCTTACAAGATTATTAATAAAATTACAGGTAAAATAAAATTATTTATCTTACCTGTCAGAATGTTGAACAATAGTTTATTTCAATAATAAAAACGCAGTAATTATCGAATACAATGGGTTTCTCATTCGTCTATTTATTTCCGTTATTAAGCTTATTAGTTTAAAGCAACATATATACATTTATGGACTTTCATGACAATCTCGTAAAAAAACTTTTAAATTTAAACTATCACAATTTAATTCATCCTCGATAATGATCATACATTTCGTTTCCTAAACCCCCTACCCCTCCCACCCCCATCCCGTACCCCTTACCTACACCCAATCCAATCTTACTCCTCATTAAAACTTCTTTATGGACTCGTCAATAATTCCTCCGCATTTGAAATTATAGTCAATTTGCTATTTTTTATAAAATCAAAATTATTTATATTTACTAATACAGAAATTATATCGCTTAAATTAACACCTGTTTTAGTCTCGTGAATTTATCATATCACATTCTGCAACAAAAATTTGAATATTAGAGATAATAATGTATTGCCTTGCTTTAATCCATCATGAATCTTCAATAAATCGCATAAATTATTTCCTTGTTCAGCACTACGATAAATGCCTTGAGATATACTTGTACTTATATAATTAATTGATTTAACTTTTCCAGTTACATCAAAGCACAATACATTACCGATCTCATAATATTATAGTATTATTTTACTTTAATAGCTTCGTCCTATAATTGTTATAAATAATAAAGATATTTGTGACACTTCGTATTTCAATATCAAGTACTGTAAAGTTCCTATCAATCGGCTTCAATTTACTTTCTATTAATATTCATTCGATATATAAACCATTTATTTTCTAGATTAATTTATATTATAATTCTGATTGCGCATCATAGTCAAGTCTTGAATGAAAATTCAGACTCGTTTTATTTATAAGAGTATATATATATATATATATATATATATATATATATATCATTAATATTATCAACAAAATTAATTTGTCATTTATATTTATTTATTCCACATTAATGGGTGTTAATATATTTTACACATGTTTTTGATATTTTAAATACACTTAAATATATACGTACGTGCAAATTTGTCACACGAATTGTGTATAACATTTTATAACAAATACTACTTTTCTTTTTTGTAAATCTTTACATATATATATATATATATATTATAATTATAAATTACACGATAATATTTAATAATGATTTTATTGTTATTCACGCTGATTTCATTTTATAGTCATATTGATCATCCTTCAAATTTTAATATTTTAAACCATTTGAAGATCTGAACGTCCAATATATAAGTTCTTTCTCTACTCTTTGTGTAACTTTCCTTATATCAAATTTACCTACTTCAACAATGTAAACCATAATTTCCATTTTGTGTACAAGAATTTAGTTTGAAAATTATATAAAGTAATATATCCCAATAAAAAATCCTCTATGTTAAAAAAAATAATTTTTATAATAAAATTATTGGAGATAGCGCAGTCGTTTAATATACAGATTTCATTAGTAACTTCAAACAAACTTTAATGTCCTATTATTGATAATACGATTCGATCACTTTCTTTCTTTTACTTTATAGTAATTTAGCACTATATTTCATCACGTGAGAAAAGCACATAAAGTGATTTCTAAAGTTAATTGGAAAAACTATATATATATATATATATATATATATATATATATAGAGAGAGAGAGAGAGAGAGAGAGGAAGAGAGACAAACAAGCATATAGAAATATATACTTACAGTACTGGTTCTTTTAAAAAATAACAAAAGTAGATTAATTTTCAACTTGTTAACATTTACGAATTACATTATTTTTATATTTATTAAGACAATGACTTTGAAACTGTTTCAATTAATTATAACATAGGATGATATAATATAACTTTCTACAGCTGTTAATTCCTCTATTTGACGTCTGAATTTGATCCTGAAATTGATTTAAACAATATCGTAGACTATACGCTTATTTCTTTATATGCATTATTTTTTAATTATTTATTTATTTTTTTACCTAATTACCAGCGTACCGTCTAATTTGATGTCTATTTAAAAATCTTTCTTCCAACTAATCGATAAAGCATCAAAAACAGTCTTTTTATACAGATTAGAACATTTGTTTCTATATATATATATATGTCGCTTATTGTGTTATATTATTGTGATTAAATTGATAATTATTATTGTATCAGTATCATTTCAGCAGATAATATATGTTGAACTCTGTAAGCTTATTACATTGCCGTGGGATTTTCATCTTCTGCCCGTGAAAGTTATTCGCAATTAACATTAGAATATCTAAAGACGATATTTCTCGTTCACAACAAATACAAAGACTTTAAAGTGTTAATAGATATGTGCTAAGTAGTTTTAGTCAGTTATACGTGGTATAACTGCGAGGGGGGAGGGGGATAAGGCAATTATATTTTGACGTTGATATTGTATTATTTAAGATTTAATATGTATTTCAGAAAAATTTAGTTAACAAACACGCATAAATTTTTTATTTAAGTTTGCTCGTTTAGATATTTTGCGCCTCGGAACAAATTATCCATGCAGCTTATGCGAAATAAATTATAATTTAATAATATATAAGTTTTGTTTGAATAAAGCTAATTAATATAAAATAAACATAAAATTTGTCACGAAATCGGATGGAAGGTGGATGAATTTTAATATTGTGCCAAAGGAGTGGGAAAATTCCCGACAAAGACAGATCTTTTACGATTCTTTATTTCGCTATTTTCAAAGTTATTTAACTGTATTAATGTACCTACAGTAGTAAAATGTACTTTTATAAACTTTATATGTAAGTAAAAAGATAATGAATTTATCGAATTAAATTAAATTAAACTAGAAATTAAGTTGTGAATAAACGACGAATTAAATCTTGTAATTATATTCATTTTACATTAACAAAAGTTTAATAAGGCAAACATAAATACATACATATATCTGCATGAAGTACAGTTATAGCAATTTTATACGAAAGTATTGTTACTAATATTTATTATTAATTGGTTAGATGGCGGATATAATGCGTAAGAATTACGTGCACGTATGTTAATATTCATTAGGTAGAGCAATTTTTAACTTTAATGAAATTTTTAAAAAATGATACTACACATTTTACTATTACCACAACGTATATGAATTTCTTTACATGCAACATTTATAGTTCAATTATATAACTTTTAAAATTTGAAATATATAACTCCCCAAGTCTTCAATCTAATTTATTATAATTCAAAATTACTTTGTTTGTAAGTGATTCTTCATCTAATATTTACAAGTCTTAAAAAAACAAAAAATGTTATCGTAACTTTATCAATGAGTAATAGTCTTTATTAATGGACATTGTACGATGTTAAATTTAACATATACCCTTTATTACTTAATTTTATCTTCTTTTTTTAATGATCTCAATACACCACGGCACTACTACCTTCTCTCTCTCTCTCTCTCTCTCTCTCTCTCTCTCTATATATATATATATATATATATATATATATATATATATATCTATCTCGATTCTTATATCTATTTAGCTCGTTCTATATTCTTTCCTATATTGTAGATTCTGGTATAAAAGTGAGAGTGGACATTTTTTCCGTTTTCCTTCAATTATCTTTCTACTTCAACATGGATATTTTTTTAAAAACTATATCGAACGTAACAAAATAGTGATCACTCGAGAATTTACATGAACTTAAACATATTCAACGACCGATAATTAGCCACGACATATAATATATATTTTTATATGTAAAAAATATATGTAAAAAAATAATTTTGTGAAATTTATCATAATGATATATTGCCTGATTTTAGTGAAATATAATTTTAGAGAAATATGAACAAGTTCTGCTTTATAGTATGAAAACTACAATATTTTCTCTATAAAAGGTGCAATTTTTTTCATGCACACGTTGAACCGAAACTACATTTTTTAATAAAACGAAAGATTTAAAATTGCGAATAAATGATTTTTTATGATACCTATTTTTTTTACATCAAATTAACGACTTTATAAGATACGTTAAATAATAAGCTTTCTCTCATAATTCTACGTTTATGAACAAATTATCAATTTTATAAAATAAAACGGGACTTGTTGCCTTTGTAAATTCAATGGAATTAGTTTGTCCAATGTTCAGTGACACCGTTCCATATGCAGAAACGTAAAGTATAGGCGCTAATCGAGCCTGAACATTTCTATAATATTTCCTCAACTTGCTTACATTATATTAAGTTTTGTATTTGTATTTGTAATGAGATAGTCGCGTAATAACGTCTCGGCTAGTAAATTTTATAAATTTGACGGGCCTGCGTGTTCGGTAGCCTTTCATGACTCTACGGCATCATGGGAATAAATCTCGACCTTTAAGCCAGCACTAATAATATCCTAAATTAATATACGTAATTAAAATTTCTGGAAGCTACCGTCGGCGAGAGAGTTAAGCGAGCCGAGAGAAGTTCCGAGTACCATCTAAAGCTAACTCGCCTATCTCGACGATAACGGCCGTAACATCTCGGGCGCTCGAAGACCCGAGCTAAAGTTCATCTTCGTGACCAAATGCCCAGCAACGCAGCATATCCCGTTAAGGTGCAAACTGCCGATAAGCATCGGTCTCTTTCCTCCCTGTTACAGATTACGTGTACAATCCGAAGGAGGCGCGTCTACGTAAGGCTATGCGCGAGCAAAGTCGCGAGCTCTCGCGCTCCTCCGCCCAGACGTCCGCACTTCTCGGTTCCGAGGCCCGGATGGTTCAGCAGCAGCAGCATCAGCATCAGCATCAGCATCAGCATCAGCATCAGCATCAGCATCAGCATCAGCATCAGCATCAGCATCAGCATCAGCATCAGCATCAGCATCAGCATCAGCATCAGCATCAGCATCAGCATCAGCATCAGCATCAGCATCAGCGTCAGCATCAGCATCAGCATCAACATCAGCAGCAGGATCAACAGCAACAACAGCAGCAACAGCAGCACGATCAACAGTCGTCGCCGGTATCCCCGGATGGCGGCAATCGCATCATCGGCCCGTGGTTCCCACTCGGACACGCCGCTCACCCCAAGCCCATTCTCTCGCCCAGGGTAGGCCCGATCGATGCTTGCCGCTCGCCCAACGGCCGACGGATCGATGACCCGAATGCTCGTCGTTATCCCTCGGTTCCGGTGCGACGGTCCTCCAAGTCCGTGTAACGTGTCCACTTGCGCGTCGATTCGCGACGCCCTTTGCCTCCGACAACGGGCGGCACCGAATCATGTGAATTAATAAGCATCAAGCTCGCTGTTAACTAGTCGAACGAGCTTTTAACATTCGCGTGCTTTAGGTAACACTCGGAGCTCCATTTTTATAACGACAATGCCTGAGCCACGTCGCTGCTTAATCGCGTCCTGAGTCGCGTTTGCAGCCAACAAGCGAAATTGCTTTCGTAAGCTAATAAGCCTATTCGGGCCTCGGCGTGTGCTACTTCACTGGATTATTTTTATAATTGATTATGTGCCACGAGCTTCGATCGAAGTTCGAAGTTAAAGCTCTAGCGAACGCGAAGTGCTCGAACATTGTCCTAACTTTTGTCTCAAAGAACCAGAAGCTCCGTGTGCTTTTTAACGAGATCGTTCCTTAATGTCCGAAGCTATTTTAGACAAAGAGATATCGGGATGTGTTACTAATCTGTTACTAATTGGTCCGCTCCTCCGTAATATCGATTAGTCGTGGTGGTCGTTAATTTGCGTCCCGCATCTTCAATTTCACTTTTTATTACGAGCCCACTAGATCAAGTATTTTCACAATTACGGTTTTAGTGTCATTTTATGCATAAGCGTAAAGAGTTTTGCAAACTGAACGAGATTTCTTTTAATCAAGGAAATTTATGTAACAGCGGTGATAATAAAACATTTTATTAGTTCTGAAGTTGGCTCTGAGGTAGCGAAGATTTAAAATTCTCAATTTCAAATTTCTTTTCCACGTACCCTTTCGCCCCTTACTCTTATAAGCTTTTAAATATTCGTAATAAAATCTGTTAATTAAAAAGAAAAAAAAGGTGAAAAACAACAACAAAGAAACAATTACAATCTGAAAATTAATTTCTAATCGAAGCAACGCCTCTTAGATTGTTTTTATTATTAATTCAGCTTTTTTTTTCTTCTTCTTCTTTTTTTTCTTATTTTTTTTTTTTTTTTAATACGAATTAGAGTTTATCAAATATTTTATGCGCATAATAATTCATTAAAACTCTGAAAAATTACTTAATTCTCGTAATATACGAGAACCAAGTAATCTCGTTAATTAATTAATTAATTAATAATAACGACACTTTCCTTCATCGTATTTATACTTGCTGTATGAATGCTATATATTTGAATTTATTAATTTGCTTATAGTTTGTTCTGAATTGGTGCAATAACGGCCAATACATAATATAAAGAAAATTTTTCCCATTTATTCGCATTAAAAAGTTCAACTTAAATTTTATTGGAATTCGACTTTGAAAATTGTAATTTCTTTTCTGCATCCTTATCAAATTTCGAATCTGGCGGCTCTTAATGATACTGCATGAAAAAAAAAAAAAAGAATTAAGGTTTTATGTTAATGTTGTTTTAAAAGAAAAAAAAAATAACAATGACAACCCCATAAACTCATTGAATGCGATGTACACGTAACAATTTTATAATAAAGGTCAATTTTTTTCGCAAAAACAAAAAGAATAAAATTAAAAACAATATTAAAATAATTTAAGATTGCTTTGTCCCGAGAGAAGCCAATCAATTTAGTGTTTTTATTGCATTTCATCTTGTGTTTAAGAAGAAAATATGCAATTTTTGTGAAAGAAACCGGAAAAAAAAACGATATCTATTTATTATTATTGGGGGAACGAAAGCATTAAATTTATTCTTATTTTACAAATTAACGCAATCTAGTTAAAGACCTATTAGAATTAACATGAAAATTCGATTACGCGATACCGGAAATTCACGTCCCCCCTACTCCTCCTAGGTTGATTCATCCGTGAATTCCCCTCCTGTTAATAGTCCGTCCCTAAAATCTCACAGTTATCTACGAGATCCCATCAAAGTTTCCATTTTCTTTTATTTTCGTATTACTGCTGCTAAGAACATAGATGGCCTGGCTTCGATAAAATAATATAAAATATTAAACTGATTATTAAACCCACGAAATTCTCTTTCAAATGAAGATCATCGTCTTAAGCTCGGTCACGCTACAAAATTTTGAAAATCAAATCATTCGCTTATGACGAATTATCATTATTATTGGGAATAATGTAAGATGTCCGACGTTCATCAATATTGCTAAAACTGAGTGAGTTAAGCCAATAAGTCGTCTTATGACACATTTTATCGCGATTTTTGGAGAATAAAGTAGTGGCAAAAGGGACGAAAATTACTTTACATTCGCGTCTCCTAAAGCATCTTCCGACATTTCTCTTCGGCTTAACCGAACGAATGCCCAATCGGGCAACAATTTTCGCCCCGGCTTCTTCTACTTTTCCCTCCCGTAAACTCCACTTTAACCAGCGGATGACAAAAAGAAAGAAAAAAAAAAAGAAAAAGAATAAAAGAAAAGAAAAGAAAAGAAAAAGGAATAGAAAGAGAAAAAAAAGTAGAAAAAAGAAAGAAAAAGAGCAAAGCGCCATGGCAGTAAAAGTAGTAGCGGAGTAGCGGACGGTCGGAGGAAAGGGCGAAGGGTGCCGGCATAAGGGGTGAAAAGGAAAGAAGCCTTTGTTTAGGGGCGCGATAAGGGCGGAGGGTCGGTGATTCGCGGGCTATTCCCGCTGCTAAGCACCGTCGAGAGTCCGTGGGACTGACGAGTCCGGGCATTCACGTAGGTAATGGCCGCCCATCAGCGCACCCTGGACAAGACGAAGGACGTGATAAGAAAGCAGCTGGAGTGCGGCGTCGCGAGTTTCTCCGCTTCCGGCTACCCTGGTGACTACCAGCAGGAGGGCCCGGACTACTGCGACTTCGTCGAGGGACAAAAGTGGCACCCTTATCAGGTGATTGGTCTCTCATCTAAACGACGCGCTACGCGATCGATACGAACGCGGCCGGCCCTCGCGCGATACTCCCCTCCCCGCCGCGCAAAAACGGCATATCGATTTTCGCGCGCGCATTACACTTACGTTCCCGCGATCTTCCTCTCTCACTAGCCGACCACCACCTCCTCCAAATCCTCGTCATCTCCCATCCCCACATCCATTCATCTTCCAATCTCATCCCCATCCCTGCCCCTGACCCTGTCCAAGATCCTGGCCCCGGCCCCAGCCTACATCATCTCTCTTCCTCGAAAACCGAGTTGTTTTTTTTTTTTTTTACATTGCGGCGCTTATCGATTATCCCGTCCCGTGGAGCGGAGGTTGCAATCCGCCGGTCCCTTTTCGAATTTTTTCTCTGGACGCCGGGCGCCCAGTTTCTCGGCTCCCCCCCCCCATCCCCCATCCCCCATCCCCCATCCCCCA